CTTGAGTATGAGGCAGACGGGCACGTAGGACAGGCGCTTGACATGGGAAAACATAAAGCGAGCGGTGCCATTGTTGAGATAGTGCAGCACATTTGTCAGGGACAGCTCATCGTCTCGCACTGTTTGCACCATGACGCCCAGTTCGCTGAAGTTGTGACCGCGGTCCTTCCACGAGGAGCGCTTCACGCAGATCGGATAATTGCGACGCGTGTTGATGAGCATGCGCACGATCTTCTCGTTGCCGCGTATCACAAAGATGCCGCCCCATTCGCTGTCGTGCTCGCCATGCTTAACCATATCCTGGGGCGTGGCATTGCCCAGATTGCAGGCACGTGAACGCAGCATGACCGGCACTTCACCCAGATCCATATTGATGGCGGGCTTTTCCAGATCGTTGACACTCCAGCCTAGACGCACGGAGCACACACCCGAGTAGGAAGCGTGCAATTGGCGTGCATCTGTTGGATATATTTCACGGGTGCGCACATCAATCACGTCCATCGGCACCTGCGGCTTGGTTATCCAAATGCCCTCAATATTTATGCTAATACGCTCGCCGGCGGGTGTTTGGAATTGCTGCGGCACCATATATCTAGCCACATGCTCCAGGCCCACGCTGAGCATTTCATCGAAAGAGTCCACATGCGGTGCACCCAAATTGGCGAGATGCTGCAAGACACGGTGTTGTTGTATTAAAGGCTATGCTTGGCGGCAGGCAACAGTTTACCTTATTCAATTTTTCGGGTATTTGCTTAAACTCGGGCCGCGAATTTGTTAGCACTGGATACTCTTTCATGTTGTCCATTATTCAAGAATTCCAGTAAGTAAGAACGTAAACAAAGTTAAACGGCACTTCGAGTTGCACGTGCTGTTAAACTTATCGATAACTATCTGGTATTTATCGGCGGCGCTGCCAACCTGTTGCAGGCACTTATTTTGAGTCTTAGAAGGTAGCTTGTCGGTAGCTTTGTGACGTCACGCTGTATACGTTCTGATAGGAAGCAATGTGAACTGCTTATTGGACTTTTATGACGTAATGCAATGAAATGCAAATTGTGCACTGGAGCGTAATCTTCCACTTGCGTTAATTCTTGCGCAGCTGACGCACAGTTTCGCGCCAAAATTGTGTTTTATTTAAATGTGCTGTGTAGTTAACAAGTGTGTTGCAGGTGCAAAGTTTAGATAATGCAGCTGCGCAATTGTGTGTAATGGATGGCAAGGACACATAAGCACGTAAGTCCTGTAACAATTTGTATGTATAAATGCATGGCAACGGAAATGAAGCACAAGTCGGAAGTGTCAACGTGTTGCTGCTTAATGAAGTTGCCTGCTTGTCCCGTTATATCCTTGTTGTTGTTGTTGCTTGGGCAGTGTCAGCCGCAAAATATGCACAAGTTTGTTGCATTAGTTATGTGTGTGAGTGCAGCTCCTGAGCTTGCCTCTTGACAGAACAGCCTAGTCCTGCTCCCTTCATTGTGGTTTGAGTTGTATGAGTGCGAGAGGGAGATAGCGGGCTGGCAATATTTTGGTCAAAGTTACGCTAATTAACCACAGGGGGCGCTGTCGATGCCAGCCTGCCATATGAGCCGGTCGGCATAATGAAGATGCAAAAAGTTTCATTAGTTATTATTAACTTCAGCCAGTCAAAGAATAACTGCTGAAACTTGAGAAAACACGAGAAGCCAAGCGACAGCAACAGCAACAAAAGAAGCTGCAACACAGGCGCTTCGGTTTATTATGCTATTATAATGAACACAATGCACATTTTCTCAAGCGCTCTATCTCACTCCCACCATCTCGCAACCGCCCCCCCCCCCCCCTCTCCACCCCTCTATCCCGCTCGTGACGTCAACTTTTTGCTACTGTACATTTGCCTGGCGCGCAATCTCGCCCAAAGTTGATGAAGGCAACGAGAGGCGGCGGCACAGGGGGGGGGAGGGAGGGATGGGGGCGTGGCTGGTTAGCAAGTTTTTGGCAAACGGGCTTCAAGTTTTAGTCGCTTACATTTTATTTTCCATTCTGTTTTGGCCGGGCTAACAAAGAGGCAACATGGCAAATTGCATTGTTGATTTTCATTTTCAAGCCTGAGCTGCTCGCACAGCTCTCAATGTCTCTTCGAGTGTGTCGCTCCCGCGCCCCCGCGCTTCTTCCTCTCTTGCAGGGCGACACTTAGCAGCAGCAGCAGCAGCAGCAGGAAACCCTTCCGAATGTGTGTGTGTGTGTGTGTGTGTGTGTGTGTCCTAGCCCCAGCCCCGCCTTGCCTCCACGTTCTGCTCATTCAAAGTCATTGCTGCGTGTTTCCCACTTTTTCAAATGCCGTCGACAATGGCCAAGTTAGCCGAAAAAAACAAAAAAAATGGCTAAAATAAAATTGGCGTTGCCAGTGGAAAAATCTGTTGCAAAATGCATTTTCATTTGAAACTTTTGCCAAAAACTTTTTCGGTGGGAGTGCATCTGAAAAAACAAAAAAACAAAAAAAACAATGCAAACACAAATGCTGCGCCATATAAAAATATATACTAGATATGCGCTGCTCCGATTTAAACACATGCATTTGTTTGCTTTCTTAATAAGTTAGATGCTAGGTTTGCCTGAAGATCTCATTAGGGAAAGGTTTTGACCCCCATTTAATAATGATAGCTCATAAGAATAGTTGTTGGTTATCTTTTATTGCGTATAAATGTGAAGTTCTGTTTCCTTAATGAAGTTGAGAAATCTTCCCACATATAGAGCATATTTACTTGAGAATAGTTCTAGCCATGGGCTTAACTATGTGAACTGAGCTCTCAGTAGGGCTAAATGTGGAAAGTTTGCACACATATTGAATTTGGCCTGATCGGACTTCTATATCATATAGCTGCCTTTGGGAACTTTTGGTTGAAAACAGAATTTGTCGCATAAAAACTTGTTTATTGATACTATTTATACATGGAAGGGTCGTCAAATCCAACATTATATTCTATTTATAGATATATTTCGATAGAACTTAAATATAATAAACTTCCCTCCTAGCTTATGAGCAGGATTTTATTTAAAAATGCCATATCATATGGCTACCATATATCGTTTTCATACCCTTGCAGAGATTATTATAATTGTGTCGTAACGCATAGAAGAAGCCATCACCGACCCAATAAAGTATATATTCCTGATCAGTATCAACAGCAGACTCTATATAGCCATGTCCGTCTGTCCGTACGTCCGTCCGTCTGTCCGTCTGTTTCTATGCGAACCAGTTTCTCAGTTTTAAAGCTATCGTCATGAAATTTTGCAGAAGTGCATCTTTCTGTTGCACGCAGTGCAAATGTCGGAACCAGCTGGATCGGACCACTATATCATATAGCTGCCATAGGAACGATCAGTCGCAAAGTAGCTTCTTGTATGAAAAACTTTTTTGTTTATCAAGATATCTAAACCAAACTCGGCATTTATCACTTTTACTATGTTTCTCATATATATGCAAAATCTTATCAATATCGGACCACTATATCATATAGCTGCCATGGGAACAATCGGTCGAAATTTAAGTTCTTGTATGGAAAACTTTTTTGTTTTTCAAGATATTTTAACCATACTGGGCATTAACTATTTTCCCAGTGCTTCTTAGATATGGACAAATCACTATGAGCATTATGAAAAAGTTTGGCATGCAAGGGTATTAAATCTTCGGTGTGCCGAAGATAGCCCTTTATTTTTCTTCGTATTTTTATGATTGTACATAGTCAATATAAATATGATTCCATTTCTTTTTTTAAATAGTATGTATTAAATATAAGCTTTTCGCAAATTAGTTTAAGTTGTAATCATATTTTTCTTTAAATCAAAGTGATTTACATCAAAATTTTATATGAAAATATTCAAACAAGCGCTTTTTTAAATTAATTATGATCATATTTGATTTCGCGTTGCATTCTATTTCTTCTTCAATATTGGATTACAATATCATTAAATTCCCAGGGCACAATCAATTGTAAATTCCCTTAGTTCAGATTATGTGATCGTTATTCCCCTAGGGTATTAAAACTTTCACAAGCCGAGAGGCAAGTTATTCTCTCATGTTTCTACATATTTATGCCAGTTTTGTGCAGATCTTTCAGTGCCAAGGTAATGCTTCGCTACTTATTTTGTTTTGATCAAAAGTGGCAACTGTTTTTTTCTTTTGCTGTCTGTTAGTCATAATGTGGCTTGACGTGTCGCAGCTAAATTTAAAACTTAATCATGTGATAGATTTTAATTAAAATGCATTCGAAAGTATATAAATTAAGGAATTCGGGGAAAATCCTGTCTGATCGCCCGAATGGGAGAGTGGGAGAGTGGAAGAGTGGGAGAGTCTGCCTGCATAGTTTCTATGCAACAAAGCATTTCGGGGAGCAGCCCTGACCGACGAGCACCCAGAGAAAAAGAGAACTTGTTCTTTACTTTTTTTTTTAAAAATAGCCAGCCATTAGATGGCTTTTCTCAGTTTTTCACGAGCTGGCCAAGCGCACAGTGCCTCGCGACGGATAGAAAATCGAAAATTTTCCATACGAATACATACAACAACATATGTATACTAGAGAATTACTTTACGCTTACATATCATATATATATATTTATTATTTTTGTAAAGTTTTTGCTGAACAAAGAAGTGTATATATATTCCGGTAAATATATAGCCAAACAACTTCTATAACTTCTAAGAACATTTATTTTTTTGGTTGCCTTTGAAAGTGAAAGTCAATCAAAAATTGCGAAATCGCGCGTGTGATAGAACTATATATCTATATATCAATATATATATAGAGGTTTTTTGTTCAACTTGAAACGGTTCAACTGATCGGGGATCGGGGCGGCAGCTCTTTGTGTGCGCTTTCATGCTCTTTGGCTAGAAGAAAAGCAGAAAATCAGAAAAGCAGAAAAGTCGCATTAACGTAAATCTTAAGCGAGTGCCACAAAAAGTAAACATACGCAGTAGCTGGCAACAACAAAACGATTGCAATAAATTCGAGTGCATTTGGCATACCAGAAACAGGGCAGACAGCGGATCGTTTCTTTGTTCTTGGCCTGCTGCGCGAAAAATAAAGCACTGCAAGAATGGGCAATGCCGAGTCAACGCAGCCCGAAGCACATGATTCAGATCCGTCCACGGCGAGCGTGGGCGCAACGCTGCCAACGGCGCCCGATGAGCCCTGGTGGCAGCAGATTGAGCACGAGAATTTAATACTGCAGCAGCTGCCTGCCGATACTGCAGCCAAAGTGCAGCTGGAGCCGGAGCAAGCCATAGCCAACATGGAGACCAAACCGGAGTCAACCGTCGCTGAGCGTGAGCCCACGCTGGAGGAGTTCCGGGAGCAGCTGGCCAGCAAGCGACTGGCACGTCAAACGGCCGTCCAGGATATGCGCGAGGAGCTGGTCAGCTTGCGCCAGCAATTGGCCAAGGAGCAGGCGGAAAATCAACGTCTGCGCAGGCAGACACAGGGCGAGGCGGCAGCGGAGGGAACTCACCCAGCGCCAGCTGTGGAGGCGCAGCTGGAGGAGCAACTGGATCCGGATGATGAGAATCCCAGTAGTCGGAGTCGTCATGCCAACATTGAGCTGGCCAATGCACAGCTGGCACTGCAGCTGGCCAATGCGGATAATCTGTCGCTGCGCAGCGAGGTGGATGTGGTGCAGCGCCAGGTGGGCACCCTCAAGGAGGTCATCTGCTGCTGCAAGCAGATGCTCAGCGTCAAGGAGGAGCAGTGTGCACAGGTTCGAGGAGCTAACCGAAAAAGCTTTCCAGGCAGCTTCCGTTTAATCGAAGGTTTTGGTTTCTTTTTGTTGCCCAGCTCAAGATGAAACTGCAGGAGATAGAGAACTCGTTCAGCGAGCGCGAAATGAAGATCATGTCCAATAATCTGCGCCAGGAGTACGAACGTCAGCTCGTGAATATACGACAGCTGCGGCAGCTGTACGAGGAGCGACAACGCGTTGCCGCCGCGGAATATGAGAATTTGCAGCGTCTCATCTCGATTAAAAAGGATGAGCTAATCGCCGAGCAGGAGAAGTAAGTGTGCCAGCCTTGGGGGGACCTTTCCGTGCGCCACTTTCAATTTCCCTTTTCGCAGAACAAAAGGCTTCGAGGAGCGCAATCAAGAGCTGCTCAAGGAGCTGGAAACAGCCAACGAGCAGCTGGCCAAGCTGCGAGACGAATGCGCCGAGCACAAGTACGAGAAGCGCGCGCTCAAGGACCAAGTGGGCGCAGTCAATTTGGTAGGCACAAAAAAAAAACAAAAACAGAAAAAAACTGGTAACATTTTGAAGTGTTTTCGTTCGGCGGCAGCCACGCAAAAACCTGAAGGATTCGGCTAAATATATAAACAAAAATTACACTTGATTCCCCTTTTGAGCTTCCCACGCGCGTTTTTCTGAATTCCAAGCGAAATAGAATAGGATAGCATCTCTTTGGCTAAAGAATATTTTTGCCGAGGAATCCTGCTAAAGGAGAATAACATATTTCCATAGAAAATCTATTTCATTGTCGAAATCCGTATCATGAAACCAGACAAAAAGTTTTATTAATATCGCGAATGTTTTCATTTACGGAAGATATGAACACGATAAGAAAACGATAACTGGGAACGAAATAGGATAGGATAGCATCTTTTTGGCTAATGGAATTTTTTTTGACCAGGAATCTTGTCAGGAGTATTACTTATTTTTTTTGGAAATTAATATTAATTTATATTGTCTAGGCAAAGCACTTCTCCTAAAGGAACTTGAGAAATCCATAGAAAACCTATTTCACTGTCCAAATCGGAGTCATGAAACCAAACAAAAAGTTATATTATTGTCGCGAATGTGTCGTCCTGGCGAAATGAAACCAACACAATTTCTCTTAATGGAAGATAGGAACTCGATAAGAAAACTATATATGGCATGGAACGAAATAGGATTGGATAGGAATCTTGCCAAAGGAAAATAACTTATTCTTGTTGGGAAATAAGAATGCGATATCGCTCGCGTAAATATATATTGCCTAGGCAAAGCACTTCGAAAGGAACTTAAGAAATTTCTCAAAACGTAAGATAAGAAAACGATAGGAAGGCGATATCTGGCATGGAATAAACGTGAAACGCTTTAATTCAATGGAAGATAAGAATGTGAAAGTAAATGTATCCCTTAGAGGTTTTTATTTAGGCAAAGATCTTCCGCTCAATTGACGATAAGAAAGCGATAGAAAAGCGATATCATGAATAGCATGGAATACATAGTGTAAGGATTTACACAGCAGTAGGCCAATTGCATTCGGTGTAGGATAAAAAGGCGATAGAAAAGCGATAGGAAACGGAATCCTAAAAAAAACTCCTCTCCTAGCTTCTGCAATATCAGACGCTGCTCAAGTTAACTCAGCTCTTGATACACACACTTATTGCATTTCTTTCTTGTCGACAGCTCTTTAGCCAGCTGGTAATGGGTTTCAATGGCAAGAATAATCTGGATATTGATCGCTTGACACAAATGCTGGAGGAGAATCGCGACCTGTTGAACGAGATGACCCAGGCGGAGGGCAGCTGCAGCGATGGCGCCACGCTGCCCAAGCTCCTATTCGAGCTGGTCGAGCAGGCGGCCAAATCGGGCGACGACGAGCACGAGAGTGACAAAAGTCGCAGTGCAACGCCCACGCCCACGCCCACGCCAAACCCAGAGCAGGCAGCCGGCAGTGAGGTCAGGGCCTTGAGCGGAGACATCACCGACTGCTCTGTGAGGCCGGAGAGCAGCGGCAGGAAGCATCGCAGGCGCATCGGAGGAGGAGGAGGAGGAGGAGGAGTTGGTGGTGCAACCGCTGCGGCTACGTTAAAAAGCCATGAGCCCGAAATTATGGGAAAAGTTGCTACGGCCCAAGAAATCATTGGCAACTTGCCAAAAGTTTGGAAAGTGTTGATGGAGCTCTTGAGTCACCACAAAATCGAGCGCGTGCAGTTTGAAGAGCAGCCACCAGCACTGGCAGCCACCGAGGATGCCCACAAGACTGCGGCCACAACAACAACAGCACCAACAACAACTCCAACAACAACAACAACAACAGGAACAACAACGGGAACGGGCAAGGCGCCGGAGCTGAGCGTGAGCAAGACCTACATCAAGCTGAAGGTGAGTGCTTGCTGGAGCCGGAGCAGGCGTCGGGTGTCGAGCTGCTGCTCAAGTGCTGCGGACAATCGGGCTTGTTAGCTGTCGCATCCGGTTTGCTGATGAAGTGCAGCAACGTCCCCAAGCCAGCCAGCCCATGTCCATGTCCGTGTCCTTGTCTGTCCTGGAGCTGGTCCTGCTGCTGGTCCTAGGGCTGTTGCAAAGTTTTGCATTATTCACTTAAGCGCTTTATTTAGTAAAGTGCAGGCCAAGCAGGCGTAGCTTCATTATTGCTGACGTCCGGGCAGGGACTAGCTTCGGGTTTTTCGAGTCAGCAAAAAGTGGGTTGGTTGCCAGTTGTTGTGCACATAATTGAATTTATCGGGCGAGCACAAAACATGTTGCATACTTTTTCGGCAGGCGGGAATAGCCGGGGTTCGCCTCCCGGATTAGCAAAGTCAGTGAGCAACAATTTCGGCACTCCATTGAGGAAGACCAGTGAGTGCTCATCAACATGAAGTCTTAAGTTAAACACAGTCCTTTTGAAGTTCACGTCATCTAGTACCTGATATTGATGGGCAGCACAGCAAGTATATTGGGGCTAGCTAGTTGGTTTTGTGTGAATAAAACAAAGTCCAGTCCTGGGGCTGTGGAAGATGCTGCCCAATAGGAAGCTTTTATTGATAGACTTACCAGCTCTGGAGAGTTGGAGACAGTTGGAAATAAACTGAAAACTGCATTCGAAGCTTGCAAAAGTTTCAAAGTGTAACTAAATAAACATGTGAAATAGATTCACACTCGGTTTTCCCTTCAATGAGAATAAAAAGGGGAAAGAGTAGTTGGATGTTATCAATTCAAAAACCACAATAGAAGAGTCTACCGAGGTAAGGCCAGATAAAATCCTTAGTGCACCTAAGGCTCTAGAGCAAAGCCAAAGCCAATAAAAATTAAGTCAGTTGAATTCAATTCGAACTATGGAATGCTGATTAGGCGAAGGTTGTCTTCCAGCAGCCCTCTAATCTCTGAATTCCTAGATATCTTATAGCCTTAGAGAACCCTAAGGCTCTAGACTAGAAGCAGATAAAGAGAAATTAAAGACTTGACCAGTTGGATTTAATCCTAACTATGAAATGTTGATTAGGCCAAGGTTGTCTTCCAGCAGCCCCCTAATCTCCGAATTTCTGGATATCTTATAGCCTAAGGGAACCCCTTAGGTTTAGGACCGTAAGCAGATCAAGAGAAATTACGTCTTTGACAAGTTGGATTCAATCCGAACTATGGAATATTGATTAGGTGAAGGTTGTCTTCAGCTCAGTATTCCTGGATACCTTATAGCCTAAGGGAACCCTAAGGGTTCAATCCGAATTATGGAATTGAATTCCTAGATAACTTATATCTATAGGATTTGCTACGCTTACGACAGCTCCGCAGCACTTGACGCCTTTAAAAGCCACAAAATTAAGCTAAATTTTCTGCTTGACCCGCAATTAGGATCTGATTTTGGAAAAGAAATCGCTGGTTAAGGAAACGAATCGTCTGAAGACCCTCAACTGTCACTTGGACTACAGGCTGAACGAGCAGGAGAAGCGTTTAAGTGCGGTCAGCTTGGAGCTGACGAAAACCTGGCATTTGGTTGGTAAAATGCAGCGTCAGCATCGCCAGCTGCACACACAGGAGCAGATATTGCGCTACCAGCTGCAGCAGAAGCGACGCCTGCTCAGCGAGCTGAAGGACGAGCTGGAATATTGTCGACGCAAATGGGCGGCGGCCCGGGCCAAAAACGACGAAAGCCAGGAACAGTGCAACGATTGGCGCCGCGAATTCGCGCGACGCAAACTCGAGGATGCCAATCACTCGGCGGAAAGTGGTTACAGCGACTCCGGGCCACATTCAGACGAGGATACAGCGCTGGGAGCAGCAGTTGCTGCCGCCGCAGCAGCAGCCGCAGGCGTTGATGAGGCGGAGACAGCACCGCGTCGCAAACACTTGAGGGATCAGTTCGAGCACACGCGCAAAATAAAGCGCATGCAAAGCACATCGCCGGGTCGCCAGGCCGCGGCGGCAGCTGCGACTGCCGAAGCCGAGCAGGAGCAGGATGAGGAGATTATTTTGCGCTGGAATAGCGCGCCGCCCACTTGCGGCTGGCGCGAGGGCAGCGAGTACGAAGAGGACGACATGGATGTGGCTGGATCGTCACGCGGCGCCGTGGCCAAAACCGTGCACAGTTCACGCAGCAGACAGCGCGGCAAATTGGAGCCCGCCGTCAGCTCGCTGTCGCCCTCTCCGACAGCCACAGACGCGGGCACGGCGAGTCGCATACAGAAACTGGAGCAACAGTGCCAGTCACTGATACAGCAGGTGCTGGAAACGAGCGGCAATCGGGAGCGCCTCGAGGTGCAGCTGTGTCGCTTCCAGGACGAGATTGCGCCCGTGCAGCATGCGGTGCCGCTCGATGAGTTCATCAATCGCAAGCGCCTGGAGCGCTTGACGCGCGCCAGCTCCGCTCCAGCCACCGGCGGGGGCGGAGGCAGTCTGACCCCGCGCGAGGAGGAGTACACGCGCAAGCGCTCCGAGCGCCTGGGCCGGCTCGAGGAGGAGTCGCGCCAGCTGCTGTCGCGGATCAAACGCACCACAGATCGTGGACACTATCTGAAGAAGTCGCTGGATCGCATTCGACGGGCGCCCAGTCGCGAGGCGAGCTTCGAGAGCAACACCGAGGAGGAGCCCAAGGAGGAGCCGGTCGGAACTCCCCTAACCGCCGATGAGGAGGCCTACACGACGCGTCGTGCGGCCCGGCTGCAGCGTCTGGAGCAGGAGAGCCAACAGCTGTTGACGCAGCTCTCGCGGAACACGGAGCGCGGCGAGGGTCTGGCCAACAAGCTGGACACGCTGCACGAGCGGCACGATCAGGATCGAGCCACAGTCGAGGAACCTACAACCGCTCTCAGCGTGGCCAGCATCTCGCAGACCGTGGAGCAGCGCCTGGAGGACATTGAGCGCGTGTCTGCGAATCGGGCGGAGCGACTGCGTCGCCTGGAACTGGAGGGCGATGAGCTCATCGCCCGGCTGAGTCACACATCCGAGCGCGGCACCGCGATGATCAATCGCATAGCGAAGCGTGAGGCGACACGGCGCCAGGAGGCGGAGCTGCTGGAGCAAACGCTGCCCGTCGAGGAGCAGGCAACCAGCAGCCTGGACACTGTCCCCATAGCCAGCACAAGCACCGTGGAGGAACCCAGTGAAGCCGCCTGCTGCGTGACGGTCACGACCATCGCCAGCCAGCTGGCCATGCAGCAGTCCACGGGCGCCATACCAAAGAGCCCAACCATACCAAGGAGCCAACCCCAAGCGCAGCTGTGCGCCGCAAAGCGTCATGAGGATGCCCACAAGAAGCAGCGCAGCAAGGAGACAACGGAGCAGGAGAGGGTCAAAGATGTGCCAGCTGCCCAGACGGAGACTTTGGAGGACTTGGTGCAACGTCTGCGAGCATTGCCCTATGCCGCAGACGCTCAAAGCGAAGTGGTGCAGGTCGAAAGTAGAGAGAAAGAGGAGCCCAAATGTGGAGACCAGGAGCAGTCCGAAAGTGGAGAGCAGCAGAAGCCGCAGGAGGAGCCTCAGGACCAGCCGCAGGAGGAGCCTCAGGACCAGCCTCAAGAGCAGCCTCAGGAGCAGCCGCAGGAGCAGCAGCAGGAGCAGCAGCAGGAGGAGGAGCAGGCGCAGGAGAAGGAAGGCAATTGTTAACTTCAAGACTTTCTATCAGGACTCCAGGGAAGTTCGCTTCTGGTAACATTTTCTAATTATAAAAAAAAAATCAATGGGAATATCGAAAACTGGAGTACTTTCTACCTTATCCAATGCATGGTAAAATGATACACTATAAATTTAATTATAAACTACGAATACTCGCTGATTTACTGCTCAGCCCGATTCCTATAGCTATATATGTCATGCATATGTATGTCATGCATAGGTATGTCATGCACATGTATATCATGCACATGTATGTTATGTCATGCATAGGTATGTCATGCATATGTATGTATGTCATGCATAGGTATGTCATGCATATGTATGCCATGCATAGGTATGTCATGCATATGACTGTCATGCTTATGGATGTCATGCATATTATGTCATGCATAGGCATGTCATGGATGTCTATGTCATGCATATGTATGTCATGCATTTGTATGTCATGCATAGGTATGTCATGCATATGTATGTCATGCATTTGTACGTCATGCATATGGACATATGTCATGCATATGTACGTCAATTGTGTGCTTTGGGCCTTTCGATTAAATACGCAAAATAAATAAATGTTTACTATAAACTTCGGGAATGGAATTTTATTTGTCTTAAATATTTAAATTATCTTCCGCTTATACTCGGGGGCTCAAACTCCTGACTTTACACTTTGTGATTGATAAATGAACGAAATGAAAAGAAACATTTTAATTATTATAGTTAATAATAATTTAATTTAATTATTATAGTTTCTTGTTGTTTTCCTAACTTGTAATGCTTTTAAAAATGCTTCTGATTGAGTGAACAAGTGCCCTAAATAGCCTGCTACTAATAAGGATATCGACTCCAAACTAGACGGGGATTTTAAGCTCATCTGAAAACGTGCGGAATGTGGGACAAGAATTCCACTTATTAGAGTCACGCACGCATGACAAGAATTTCGCATAGATTTACTGTGCAGTTGTCTGCTCACTTAGACGCGCAGCCAGCCATCACGCGACGCCACTGTGTCGTGTGTGAGGGGGGTGGCCAGCCCAAAGGGGTTAAGGGGGAGGAGGGTGGGGGGGGGGGTGTCGCATTATCGTCACTGCATATGCAAGTAAAAACTGCTGCCGTCCGCTAACTAGTTAGCGCAGTCCTCTGCTGCTTCTTTATGCAAATGCCACCCCCCTTCAAATATAATGCAAACTGAGTGCGTGTGTGTGTGTGTGGGATAGTTTGCTTCCAGTCAGGCATAAAGAAAACACAGCTTCATATGCTTTTAAAAGCGAACAGACTTTTTACATTCACTTATCCTTAACATGCGCTGTCAACAGTGAACAATTCCACCCAACCCCTCTCTGCTACGCCCCTCCATTACATACATGTTTAAATAGCAGCGACACACAACAGCACTGTTAGAGCTACTTAACATCACTGTTAGAGCTACGTAACAGCACTGTTAGTGCGTTCATTTAGCTGCAGTGCTATTAAGTTTTCCCCTCTTTTCAAAATGAACACTTCCAGTGGCAGCACGCAACTCGCTTGGAGCGGACATGTTGCGTGCCTTAACAGACAGTACTTGTAACAGGTTCCATTGCATACTTTACAGCGTATAAGAGTGGAGGCAGCGCCATCTGCCGACAAATGGCAGCACTGCAGCGCGCATTGTTGAGCGTAAAGCGTAAAGCTTTTTCCCAATTTCGATATCTTATGCGTTGTTGATTTATTTTTTTTTGTTAGTCTTCTGCTGGCCGTTAACGAGGCGGCCCGCGTAATTAGATGAAGCCCGAGCGCATTTTAAATTAAGCTGCGGCCATCAGGCAACGGTTTATGTTAAACGCACAGCGCCCGGCGTCTAATTGCTGTGGGAGTTGCGACACGCCCCCCGCCTCAATGGCCGGCTGGCGGCTGCTGAAAATGTATACAAATTGTTGCAGACGCGGGCAGCGCTGGCAGCGCGGGCAGCGACTGCAACTGGAAACGTCAAATTAATAAACAGCCGGACGTACCACAAGCTGTGAAAAAGTAATCTCTTGGTCTGCGCGTCATTTCCAGTCCAGCTTGGAAATGCGCCAGCGGCCGCTAGAGATGGGCGCGTGACACGTATCGTAAGAAATGCACGAAAATTATTATGGCTTTTGGCTAGAGGTCTGTGTGCCCTGTTCGTAGAGTGAAAACGGGTATATTGGTGCAAGGTGACTTGGGCTAATAATATATAATATTTTATTATTATATATATTATATGTTAATATATATACATATTTTATTTATTTTGGGGATGTCCATCAACAACTATGCATATTCTATATAATTTAATTAATCAAATGGAAAATTGCTGCTGGAATTGAACCGGCTTGTCTTGAGTTGTTACGTTTTCTAGACACGAACACGTCGTGTTGCTCGTGTCACGTATTTAAAGTTAGGAGACGCGTCCAACTCTAGGCCCGAACCATTCAAGATTTATGCAGTTCGTGCGAAGGAAGCGCCGCTGTCGCCGCTGCCGCCTCCGTTATGCGCAGCAAAGTAATCTAATTTATTAAAAGTGCAGCCTCTGGGCCAGCTGGGAGCAGCTGGGAGCAGCAGCAGCTCGGGCTATGTCCACCGTGGAGCGCAGCTCGTTTTGGTTTTGATTTACGCTGAAATAAATTAAAATATCATAAAAAGGAAATTAAAATTCACTCACACAACAAAAGCGAAGAACCGAAGAAGTTTTCGGGCTCCACTTGGACAACTCTCAGCCTCCGTCCGTCCGTCCGTCCGTCCGTCCGTCTGTCCGTCTGTCTCTGTCTCGGTCTCACTGCGGGCTTTTAACTAATTTTTAAACAAGTAAAAATACAAATAAATATTTTAATGTGTGATTTACGACAATGAGACGCACAGGGGGTCGCTCACGGCTCCGTTCGTCTCGGTTCGACTTGGAGCTGGATCTGGTCTTGAGTCTTGGCTGCGGATCGCGGCGATCCGCGTCTTCGGCTGCATTTAAATTGGATTTGTGCGCTTCTGGCGCAACGGCCTGCCCCGCCTGCTGCCCACAATGAAATACAATTTAAGCGCCTTTAATGAACTGCGGGCATTCCGTTAAAAAAAAAAAAAAACACCAATACACATGAAGAAACAAATAAGCAAAATTCAAAGTTTTCATTGAAATTTGAAATTATTTGAATGCCGCACTTAGAATTTATTGGCGCATAAAAGCCGCTTAAAGTTTACGAGCGCAGCGCATTTTTATTAATTGACTGTAATTAATTGGAGATTTATGTGAAACGTTTCAAGCAGCAGATATATATACGGAATCATAAAATGCACATAAAAGAAGCTGATTTAATTAAAAAAAAAATGAATTTAAGGCTTTAGTCGAAATGGCGGCATTTAACTATACTCTGCATTTAATTTATTTATTTTTCATTTTTTTAAAATTTATTTGCTGGAAAGTTATCGAAAAAAAAACCTACAAACAGCAATTTGTTGTCTCTTTCATGTGGATCAATGTTCCAATTTAAGGAACATTTATTGCATTTACAGCTAGCATTCAATGGTAACTTTTGTGCTTTTTGTGAGCTTTTTGGCATACTCATCATTGGCATCATCCGATTTTCCACGCTCGAAGATTTTGTATAGTTTTGAAGCTAATAACTTACGCTTTATCTAATCATTCGATTTTTTTCAGTCTGAGCTTTTAATAAGTTAAAAGCGTTAGTTAAGCTTTTCAAGCTTCAACTAAAAATATTAAATTTTAAATATGCTTTAGCTACTACGAGCTTACTCGTAGCTTTCAGCATTCTACAAATTAACGCCTAAGTTTATTTAGAACTTGCAAAACTACATATTATAGCTTTCAGTTAGCATAGCAATGTTCTGTGTGTCCAAAATAATGTGCTTGGAGCTTTCAAAGTTCCTTTTTCTACCTTTAAGTGGCTTTTGGCGGGCATTTTAATAAATAAAGCTCGAGTATAACTTTCGTATGCTTTCAAAGCTTAAGTGGTTCGCTTAAAAGAAGCTTTGTCAGCATGTCAGAATTTATAATATAATTTGCTTGGAGCTTTAATGTGCTTTAAAATCGCGAGCTTTGTAATTCAAGTGAGCTTTCTAGCCGGTAAATTCCTCAAAGTGGTTGGATTAAAGCTTACAGTCTCTTTTAAAGCTGAATCAATCAGCTTTAGGTGAGCTTTCCCTAAATACAGCTGACCTTGCCTAGTCTTCTACCTATTCTTTCTGCTCTGTCCTATGTAGATGTTCCCTATTGTATGTTTGCAGGGTATGCAAAAAAAAAAGGGAAGCACATTAAAGCAATTGCATGCAATTAATTAAAAAGCCATTGACATTCATAAAAAGTAAATTGCGGCAACAGCAGCGCCAAACTTGGCCCGAAGGTGCTCCGCTCAGGCAGCAGGAACTCAGGAAGTCGTCGGCTCACATAATAATGCATGTGTATTATCCCGATGCCAGCAACAACAGCAACAGCAACAACAACAACAACAATAACAATTTACAGACACCTCTCGCTGGGCTGGATGGCTGGCTGTTTTGGTGAAAATCGAGTACAAGCATTTATTAACAGCCTGAACGATCGATGCCAAAACACCTGCCAGCTAGAGATGCATCTTCCGATGATGCTGACCCAGCCTCTGTCCCAGCCTCTGCCTCTGCCTCTGCTTCGGCCGCTGCCGGCTAACGAGCGCGAAAATAATGCGCGAAATGTGGAGCAGTAGCTGGCCTGGACATGGAACTCGGGCCCAGCTACCAGCTCCACAGAGACTGTGGCCCATCGACGGTGGCGACTGACAGAATTATAATCAATTAGCGTAGCGGCCGGCGTGAGCGCATAAAATTATATACACGGCCGTGTTGAGCTGCACTGTGCTCTGCTCTGCTGTGCTGTGCTGTTGCCTGCTGTGCTGCGGCGATGCGCAATTTGGTTTAAATTAAAATAAATTCAATTACGAAAACATGAAAATCCATTACGCAAATTATTGTCATTAAAAGCGCAATTTTCGTGCTGCATTTATGAACAATTTTTCTTTATTTTTTGTTTTTCGATTAAATTTCTGACGCTTTGCGTTCGCCAGCTGCAAATACAAAAGACTTAGGCAACGAACTTGCCATTGCATGCAGTCGCTCTCTCTCTCTCTCACACTCTCTCGCCTGGCTAATTAATTAATTATAACTCAAGCGATTAGCATAGTTCCCCCCCCAAAAAAATAGATTGTCCAAGCCAGTCGAGCAGCTGCCTCCGCTTTCATCGTCTGTCCGTCCAACTGCCTCTGGGATTAGCTCGCATCACATGCGAGAAGCAGCAAAAAATAAGAAGAACCGCTTTCATTCATAGATAGACGCGACGACTCACAACGGCAAACGGGTTATAAATGTTAAACGATTTGATAGATAAGATATAGCTTGTTTATATACGAATATCCATATGTATATATGAGTGTGTGCTTGTGTACGTGTTGTCTGCCGTTGGGAACACGCTGCCGAGTGTCGCACTTAATTTGTTTAATTTCCTTGACGTTCGCTACTCTCATATCGCAGCCTCATACACTATGTAACAAGTTTGAAGCTGTTCAAAGCGAGAGTCAAGTCGAAAGTATTTTAAGCTTTTGCTCA